CAGAAATATAATAGAATTGTAAAAACATGAAGTTCTTTTAAAAGACTACAAAAAATTTAAAGTATATCTAATTATACAAATATATGAAATTTTGGGACACCTCAGTGGTTCAGTTGGTTAAGCATCTGACTTTGGCTCAGGTCATGATCTCATGGTTTGTGGGTTCGAGCCCTGTGTCAGGCTCTGTGCTGACAGCCCAGAGCCTGGAGCCTGCTTCAGATTCTGTGTCTCCCTCTCTCTCTAACCCCTCCCCTGCTAATGCTCTGTCTCTTTCTCTCTCTCTCTCTCCTCTCTCTCTCCCTCTCTCAAAAATAAAAAAAAATTTTTAAAGTTCAAATACATGAAATTTTGCCTATCTTTTGGCTATCAGAATGAATATAGACTGATTCCTTTTCTTTTTTTTAAACCACAGATCCAAACTCTGTAGGTAACATGGGAAAGCAAACTTCAAAAGGTCTTGAAAAGTCACAAAAATAGACTGACTTGAGTAATTTTACTTTAAAATATTGTATTAACTTACGAAGGTTTCCAATAGACATCTTTTTTTAATGTTTTTATTAAAATTCCAGTTAATACACAGTGTACTATTAGCTGCAGGGAAATGATACAGTGATTTAGCACTTCCATACATCATCCAGTGCTCATCACAAGTGCCCTCCTGAATCACCCGTCCCCCACCCACCTCCCCTCTGGTAGCTATCAGTTTCTTCTCTATAGTTAAGAATCTGTTTCTTGGTTTGCCTCTCTCCTTTTTTCCCTATGCTCATTTGTTTTGTTTCTTAAATTCCACATATGTGTGAAATTCTATGGTATTTGTCTTTTTCTGCCGGACAGAAAAAGTCACAAAAATCGGTGGAGTTGAATAGTCTTATTTTAAAATATTACATTAACTTTGAAAGGTTTCCAAGAGTCATCTCTTATTTATCTTTTAGCTTTTTTTAAGTTCATTTATTTCTGGAAAGAGAGAGCAGGGGAGGGGCAGAGAGAGTGAATCCCAGGCAGGCTCTGCACCATTAGCACAGAGCCCAACTCAGTGCTCGAACCCGTGAACCGTGAGATCATGAAATGTGAGATCATGACCTGAGCCAAAACCAAGAGTCAGACACTTAACCAGCTGAGCCACCCAAGTACCCCTCAAAAGGCATCTTTTTTTTTTTAACTTTATTTTTTATTTTTTAAAATTTACCTCCAAATTAGTTAGCATATAGTGCAACAATGATTTCAGGAGGAGATTCCTTAGTGCCCTTTACCCATTTAGCCCATACCCCCTCCCACAACCCCTCCAGCAACCCTCAGTTTGTTCTCCATAGTTATGAGTGTCTTCTGTTTTGTCCCCCTCCCTGTTTTTATATTATTTTTGTTTCCCTTCACTTATGTTCATCTGTTTTGCCTCTTAAAGTCCTCATATGAGTGAAGTCATATGATAGTTGTCTTTCTCTGACTGACTAATTTCACTTAGCATAATACCCCTCCAGTTCCATCCATGTAGTTGCAAATGGCAAGATTTCATTCTTTTTGATTGCTGAGTAATACTCCATTATATATATATATACCACATCTTCTTTATCCATTCATCCATCGATAGACCTTTGGGCTTTTTCCATACTTTGGCTATTGTTGATAGTGCTGCTGTAAACATGTGGGTGCATGTGTCCCTGCGAAACAGCACACCTGTATCCCTTGGATAAATGCCTAGTAGTGCAATTGCTGGGTCGTAGGTAGTTCTATTTTTGTTTTTTTGAGGAACCTCCATACTGTTTTCCAGAGTGGCTGCACCAGCTTGCATTCCCACCAACAATGCAAAAGAGATCCTCTGTCTCCGTATCCTTGCCAACATCTGTTGTTGTCAGAAGGCATCTTTTAAATGAAGTTTTAACACTTCTGTTTTAGTATGGTATATCTTTTCTTACGATGATTGTCAAAATCAATTATTGGAGCCACCAAGAGAAGTTTCTGCCATTGATATGATGTTTGAATGTAATTTCAGCCTACTAACTCAACATTCTTACCTTTTCCCTGTAGGAGGCAGATTTAGATTTACTCTAAGAAAGAGAATCTAAGGGCACTTCCTTCTTGGGAGAGGGAGGAGTCTGCACCAAGTGGTCAGTGTCCAGATAACTCTGGGTTCTGGTGATGGGTAGACAACAGGGACATTCCTCACGGAACCTCTTCAGTGTAGAAGAGCCTGTAGGCTGCTCTGCCAGGAGAATTTACTCTAAGTTATAAACAGTGCCTCTGAGAGGTGGGCTAAAGGTTCAGCTTCTTCATTTTTTGAGCTTTCTCTTTAAATGATGGTGTACCTAAACAGTGTTATGAAAATAGGAGTACATTTTAACTGTCCACATTGAATAAATTATCACACAAAACTGAGTTCATCGTCTTTTCTCCAAACCCAAGACTCTTCTTACATTCTCTTCATGAATGACACCCACCTTCCCCTAGGTGATATTGTCAGAGAATTCTCCTGCTACAGCTCTTCTCCAACTTTAAGGCACATAGGAATCCCCCTGGGATCTTGTTGGAATGCAGATTCTGATCTAATAGGTCTGCCCTGGGCTTAAAATTCTGCATTTCTATCAGGCTTCCAGGTGATGCCCATACGACTTGTGTATATACCACAGTTCAAATAGCAAGACTTTGGGCACATTCTCATCTCTGATTACATATCAAAAACACTTTTGTCTTTTATTTTTTTTAATTTAAAGTTTTTGTTTTTTTTTAGAGAGTACAAGCAGGAGAGAGGGGCTGTCAGGGGGTGGGGGAGCAGGGAGAGAGAGAGAGAGACTGACAGAGAGAGAGAGAAAGAGAGACAGAATCTTAAGCAGGCAGAGAGAGAGAATCTGAAGCAGGCTCTACACTCAGCACGGAGCCTGATGCAGGGGTCAGTCCCACAACCCTGGGATCTTGACCCGAGCCGAAATCAAGAGTCGGCCGCTCAACCAACTGAACCATCCAGGCACCCCAAAACCCTCTTGTCTTTTAAATTACTGTCTGCCCTCTCTCTGGGCATGGTAATGATGAGGCCTAGAATCTAAATAATTTTTTTTTTAATTCCCAAGGAATTTTTATCTACAACCAAGGTGAAAATAACTAAGAGGTATCTTATTGTGAAAAGTGAATAGTTACCACGTTGCACTTTTTTACTATAAGTTTATGTATGCATATGGACACTAAATAGCAAATAGTTTGTTTTAGAAACATCTGTATGTACATGGATTGATTAACAAGTTGGAACATACTATAGAAAAATAATATTTTAACAAAATTAACCATACAATACAATTATCGGGGTAAGGATATTGAATTAGACCTTCTCCTCGTTTCCGTGTTGTAGGGCTGGCCATAAACAAAATTTTCTACATCAGTGAAATTTCTGTACCTTACTCCAGCCTCTTCATTCCTCCCACTGTGTTTACCTAGGTCCTTCATGCTGTCTTGCATTCTGGCACTGAGCCAGCCCTTTCTTACCCCAAGTATCCTGTGACCTGTCACTTGTCTCTCTACATTCATCCAAATGTGAACTTCGGTTCTCTAGGTAAGGTTGATTGCACATGTTTTTGAAGGAAAGTAATTTGATATCGTAGGTTCATTTTCAGTCATGACAGATTTATTCTTCCTGGTTTTTTTTTTCCTACCAGTCTTTGTTTCTCAAGAACACTGTGTTATCCCATGTGGTATAAAGGCTGGTTCTCACTCTTTGAATGATTATTGTACATTTAAAGTATACTGTCAGTGGGGCACCTGAGTGGTTCAGTTGGTTGAGTGTCTGACTCTTGATTTTGGCTCAGGGCATGATCTCACAGTTTGTGAGTTCAGGCCCCACATCCAGCTCTGTGCTGACAGCGTGGAGTCTGCTTGGGACCCTCTCTCTCCCTCTCTGTCTGACCCTCCCCTGCTCACGCTCTCTCTCTCTCTCAAAAAATAAATAAACTTTAAAAATAAATAAAATATGCTGTTGAGCCTAGACTATAAAGCTACAAGTTGTATATAAAAGAGCATATCTTACCTAAAGAATGAAAATCTTCATTTTCTAGCTCAGTCATCAACCTGTCTGTCACCTGGACAAAGGAGCATACCATTTAGTAGCTCGGTTTGTTCACTCATAGAAATAGTACGATGGAATTGTCTATGTGAAGGTAGATGGAATGGGGGTACCGAGGTGCCTAAGAAATGGAATACCTTGGGAATACCTCAAGTTGGAAACATGATAGGCCAAGACTTTGGGAACACTAAGGGAAAGAAGAAGGTGGTAGAGTGACAATTTAGTGTTAAAATGAGCACATGTCACTCCTATCTGGATATGCTCTTTCCCATGCTAAAATCCTGAGAAATTCTGTGTGGTTCTGGTAGAAGGGAACTGTCTTTCTCAAAAATATTTATTATTCCAAATAAATCAATAATACTTTAAACAGCATAACAAAGCAAATTCTGAATTCTCAGCCAGTGTGGGTGGAGAGTTATTTTGGACCGAGAGGTCATTTCTTCCTAAAGTCTGCTCCCAGGAACAGTTCCCATAAGCAGATCCTGCTTTTTATGTCTTCTTTCCAACACTCCTTTTAAATTAATTATCAATTAGTTTTTAAACATTTTTGCACTTTTGCTTTCTTTCATGTTCCTCAAACTGCTGAGGTCAGGGATGAGATACACTGGGCTTCTGTGATTCAAAATCACTGGGGAGGGGGCTCCTGGGTGGCTCAGCCGATTAAGCGTCCGACTTCAGCTCAGGTCATGATCTCATGGTTCATGAGTTTGAGCCCCGTGTCGGGCCCTGTGCTGTCAGCTCAGGGCCTACAGCCTGCTTCGGATTCTGTGTCTCCCTCTCTCTCTGCCCCTGTCCCGCTCATTGTCTGTCTGTCTGTCTGTCTCTGTCTGTCTCTCTCTCCCCCTCTCTGTCTCAAAAATAAATAAATATTAAATTTTTTTAAAACTCACTGGGGAGGACCAAAGCAGTGTCGTTGACAGAGCTTTCCCTTTCTAGTTACAGTCCTTCATACTTGAAGAATAATCTGTGAGCTCTTTGGCAGTGATGCCTGGAATCTGCAGGTAAACTATGTTGCAGCAACCTCAGCATCTGAAAGTATAACCCCCAAACATCTGAGTTTGGACAAGCTGTACAAAGTTAAGATAGTCTTAAATGGGGCAGGGAGGGAGAAGTACCTCAGAGTTGAGGAAGCTCAAATCAATTCTAGCCTAATGTATTCACCCCGAGCACATGCCCCATCTTTTTAAAAAGAACTCTTTTCAGCCATGGTCTCTATGCACTTGGGATTGAACTTCAACTAGTTTATTTTCAAGCATGCTTCTAACTTGGCACAGCTGTGGGAAAAATCCCATAACTGAGCCATCTGGGTTGGATAAAAGAGGGAGTTTTTCTATTGATTTCTCACATTTTGTTCCTTTTTTGTTTTTAATGGGGGAAAATCATTATGAAATAACCAAATTATTGCATAATGTTAATGAAAGGGGAGAAATCTTTTCAACTCTACACTGTTTCTAAAGAATTGTATATTGGAAGTTCTCTCTGTTGTCTCTGAAATGTGGTATAGAATGAATGTTTTGGGTGAATTGACTTGAGTGAATAATAATGGTCAGAAAATAAAGTTCTCTTTGGGTGGTCTGAAATTCAGCAGTGTTTATTTCTTTTCAGACTCAGCAAAGATTTCCCCCCCCCCCCCCCCCAGGGAAGCATATTTTAGCATTTAATGATCTGGATTTACTTAGTGTGGTTATAATTGAAATCATTAGGCATATATAATTTTTCATTTTTTCATAAAGACCAGCATTAATTGCTTTATTACTCAAAGAATCTGAAGTTAAGAAATGTTGGAAAATTGTTTAATCTCTGATAACTTTGAGAACAACTTTGACAAAATAGACTATTTTAGATGTTAGAAACTGCTGTTTGCAGTCCAGAGTTACTTGTTTGAGTCTTGCATCAATTCAGACCTTAGAATTAAGAAACTTTTAAGTAAAAGTCTTCCTCCGTACTTGCTTCACCATGGGTACTGGGAACATGATGAGGAACAGGATGCTTTCTGTCCCTGTTAGTTGTTACAGTCAGAAGACAGGGGCAGATGTTATAGAAACCGTTGCTCAGATATGCTACAAAGAAAAAGTATGGTGCACAAAGATTGTATATGACCTTTAGAGGCGGCAGAGTTAGGGAAGGCTTTCCTTTAGAACTGAAGAAATTTCATTCACACAAAGCCAATATATAGTATATAATATAACATGAAATAGTAGTAGTTATATGGTAGATCAAACATTATGCTGGTAATCAACTATTTCTTATCTTCTTTTACTAATCCCTCCCATGAAAGCTTCTTGGCAGCAGGAACACCTTGACATCAGAGTTTATGCCTATTTCATGTCAGAGGGCTTTGTTTATAAAAGGCCCCGAGTAATATTTCTCATTAATATAGCACATAATTTTTCTTTCTATCATGCTAGTGTAATTTAGTAGTTGTATCATTTAACATACATTACTGTTAACATCATTGTTGCTATAATATCACATGGGTCCTAGCATAGAAAGAATAATTTATACAAAGATACAACTTAAGAAAAATATTTTGGGGCCACCTAGGTGGCTCAGTCGGTCGGGTGTCCAACTTTGGCTCAGGTCATGATCTCATGGTTTGTGAGTTCAGGCCCCAGCTCAGGCTCTGTGTTGACAGTTTAGAGCCTGGAGTCTGCTTCTGGATTCTGTGTCTCCCTCTCTCTCTTTGCCTCTCCCCCATTTGTGCCCTCTCTCTCTCAAAAATAAACATTAAAAACTTTTTTTAAGAAAAAATATTTTTTAATTAATATGCCATTTACTGCTATTGCCTTGACTCATAAATCTACAGCAAGATCCCTTCCCCCAGAACATTATGTCCCACTATATATTTGGAGCCTGTCCATCACTCTCAGTTTCTGTGATGGAAATGATGAGGATTGTTTTACAGTTGCTGTTGACTTTTTGTTTGCTTTATTTGGGCATTTAAATCAATTTCATTGTCTAAGAATGTAAATCATAAAAACTGGTTTCCTTTAAAAATATTAAAAGATTATGAAATGAGGCCTACTTTTCTTTTGGCATCAAGGGTAGATAAATGCATACCTATTAAATGGAGCATGGTCTTTTGATAGTAAATTTAGCCTATGGGTATATTCATTTTACAGTGTTCACTCAGGCTTAAAATATCCTCTAATGCCTTTGAGAGAGTAAAGTGAAGAACGCCATCACGTGACTGTCTGGGTTTCTGAAATGCTAAAGCTTTGTATAAGCCTTATGGATTTTGAGTAATAATAAAGCAAGTGCTGGCTTGTTAAAAAAGATAATCTGATCCATCCACTATATAAACCAGAATGTAATTTTAGATACTATGGTTTTACATCACAGATGATTCCATAATCTCCAAAAGAACTTGCCCAATTATGAGTATATTTTCTTGGAATATAAATTCATTTTGATACTTAAATGATTTTAAGATTCCATTTGAGGAATCTTTTACTTACAAATATTGTATTTTCAATTAAAATATTCACATTTCTCTAGTCGTGAAAAATATAGTGCATAAAGGGTTCCAAGATTTAAATATGACTGCCATTTCATTGTGACCGCTTTCAAAAGAAGTTGATTACCAAATAGTTAGGAAAAATGGAAGTTACAGTCTTGCGTATAGTTAGCCCAGTTGACTAATTCTTATACTAAATATTTTTGAGCATCTTTTTTGTTCCAGGTACCATAGTAGGCATCAGGTATATTCTTAAGAAACAAAACAAAGTTTGCAAAACAGACCATCGAACAACCTTTCTCATGTAGTATTCCCACTGACGTTTATGTGCTTAATTCTTTGGATATCTTGGCCTCCCACTCAGAATATATCCACTTCAACCTTTGTGCGGATCTCTAACAAGCTTCTGTGTCTGACTTACTGGTCTACTGGAAGTAGAAAGGGATTGCCGCTGAAGCCATATGTACTGACAGTGCAGGTGATAATGACCAAATTCACACAGACAGAGCCACATTTGGCAAGGGATCACAAAAATAATTTCAAGTAGTATTTCTCTGGCCCTGCTCCAATCTGCTGCATGAGAACATCAAACCTTCCTATCCTCCAGATCCTTCTGAGAGTCCCCTGAAGGTGTCCCAACCAGAATTTCTTAGCATGGCAGTCCTCTTCTCTGTTTTCAAGGCACTGTGGAGGTATCACCCATCACCACCACAGGGCATTAACCGTGCTGCGCATGGCAGCCGACGGCGCTGTGACCGATGCGAACCTCATGCTACTCTGGCCCTGCTTTCTCAGTCTCCACAGAGATTAGAGTTCAGCCTTTCATGTTAGGGTAGGCTCAGCTGCTATAATTGTAATGTGTAACAAAAATTCAACAGCTGAAGGAATATAGAAGTTTATTTCTCTCTCACATAACAGTCCACCTTAGGTGTTCATTTTGGCAACAAATCTTGTGCTGTCGTTCAAGAACTGGGGGGAGGGGGGCTCTGCCTGTCTTCAACACACAGCCTCCAAGGTTGCCCTGCTCTCTGCCCTTCCAGCCCACAGGAAAGGGGAAGAGCCTAGGGGGGAGATACCCCCACTTCTCAAAAGCCTCGGCTCACATTCGGTTGGAGAGAATTGGCCCCACCTCTCTGCAAAGGGCCACTTCCCAGTCACATTTCTGCTATGACAGCAAGCTGTCACCTTCGTCTCCCTCTTGTTCCACTGTCCTAGACCTAGACCGCTGGCGGCCTCCTAGATCTAACCTCCAGAGCAGCTGAGGGCATCCTCCATCACGTGATCTGCAGCATCTCTACCCTAGGCTGCCCTCTTTCCCATCCAGATCAACAGCTTGTCTAAACCTTTACCATTGTCCCCAGATCCACCCTCCTTGCCACTCACACCAGCCTGAAAGGTTGGTGACCTGCCCCCTAGATACGGGGCCCTAGCTGTGGTCCTCTCCCCGACAAGCCACTCTTTCCTTCCATCCCAGTGGAGGACACATCTCTACCTCTGTCTCAAGCTCACTCTCCTTCCCAGTGTAATTCTTTTCTATCTCCTGTGGGATCTTGTTCCACTAAATATTCCTGCTTTCTCTGAAGAGAATCTTCTTATCTTGCTGGTAAAGTTTTCAATCGTTGAGAGTGTAAACATGCTTTCTTTTGCTTCATGCTGTGTGTGTGTGTGTTGTTTTTTTTTTTTTTATTGCCCCTCTTTTTCCTTTTTAAACCAGATCTCTTAAAAGACTAGTGTATGTTACCTGCCCTGTCTGCATCTCCTGTCTAGTGTCCAGCCTTTTGCAATCCTTACAGAAAAGGAGCACACTGAGCTGTGTGCAGCCCACGCTCATTCAGCAACTCGTCCACATGTACTCCTGAGCTCGATCTGTGCCAGGCACAGGGAATTCAGCACTGAACAAAATAAAGGTCTTTGTCCTCCTGGAGTTTACATTCCAGTAGGGAAAGGCAAAAAGTAAACATCTATCTGTTAGGTGTGTCAGTGATCTGCGGAATGTTCTAAAGACAAAACGGAGTCAGGATATAAGGGGGCTAAGAGGACATGGATATTTTAAAAGACCTCATAGGTAAATATTTGAGCAGAGATCTGAAGCAAGTGAGAAAGCAATCCACGTGGATAACTGGAAGGAGAGCATTTCAGGCCAAACAAAACAAAACAAAAAAACGGCAAAACCTGTAATAAGGCCCTGAGCATATCTGCACATACAAGGAGCATATCTGCACATACAAGGGACATACATAAAAGGGCCAATATGACTGGAGCAGAACAGGGCAGGAAGGAATAGCAGATGAGGCCGGAGATGTAGCTGGTGCCAGATCCACAGGGTTTTCTAGACTAGGGTGAGAATTCTGATGGGAGCTGTAAGAGGGGCTTGAGCAAAGGAATGACATGATTTTGGTTTTGCTTTTGTTTTTTTTTTTTTAGTTGACTTATTTATTTTGAGAGAGAGAACACGGGGAGGGGTGGAGAGAGAGAGAGAGAGAAAGAGAAGCCCACGTAGGTTCTGCACTGTCAGCACAGAGCCTGACCCAGGGCTGGAACTCA